CAACTCAAAAAAAAAAAAAAAGAAAATATTCAGGAAAAGAAAAAAACGGCATAAGGTCCCAAAAAGTAAAACTTGAATTTGCCATGCACCAAGTACTATGTTGAACCAATATGAATGAAGTGATGTGTAGACATTGGATTAGGTATTATGCGTAATCCAGAGATGACTTAAAGTATATGGGAGAATGTGTGTAGGTTATATGCAAATACATGCCACTTTATATCAGAGACTTGAGTATCCTCAGATCTTGGTATCCACAAGGATTCCTGAAACAAATGCCCCTCATATCAAGGGATGGCTGTATAAAATAATGACAATGTTTAAGTTATCAGTAATTACATATGACCAGAAAATAAGTAAATAACTACTAACAGCATCTCTGAAATAAAACTGCTTAATTATACAATTAAAGACATCAATATTTCATTCACAGAAAAGGACTATCCCCCCCATATACACTAATGGCAGTACCTGGTAAATCAGGTCTCATAAGAGTTAACTGGCCCTAGGGGCCTATTTAATTCTGGAGCATTGTCAAAATTTTGTGAACCTGCAAACCTGAAAAGTAAACCAACCATGGTGATTCCCTCCATATCCTGCCTAAGCCTCTAGTGAGCCTTCCTCCACAGTAACTCTCTCCTTAAATGCAGAACTAATACTATAGTATAGCTAGTCATTGACAGTAATCCACATGGCAAGTAGTCATTTCTATAATTTTTTTGGAGTTGCAGTCTCACTTGTCACCCGGGCTGGAATGCAGTGAATACGCTCATGGCCACCATAGCAGTGACCTGCTGGACTTAGGTAATCCTTCTGCCTCAGTCTTTCAAGTGGCTGGACTACAGGCATGTACCACCACACCTGGCTAATTTTTTGATTTTTATAGAGACGAGGTCTCACCAAGTTGTCCAGGTTGGTCTCAAACCCCTGGACTCAGATAATCCTCTCGCCTCTGCCTCCCAAAGTGCTGGGATTACAGGCGTGAGCCACCGTGCCTGGCTTCTATATATATTTTAATCTGTTCTTTGAGTACTCTACAATAAGAATTTGGTGAGGGCTTCTTTTAGGTTCTATGAATTAAAAATCACGGAAACAAAAAAAAACCTAAAGTAGAACTTTAGAATATGTTTTTTACTACTATCAAATACATTGTGAAAGTCTCATTTATGAGGGGGGATCCCAAAATCCCAGAATTTATTTATAAAAAATTATGTATTTATTCTTACATGTTTAAACTTCAATCACCTTCAAAGTACTCTCCGTTGGAAGCAATACACCTATCGAGACATTTTTTCCACTGCTCAAAACAGTTTTTGAATTTGTCAATTTTGATGCCTTTTAGTGTTTTTTGTTTTATAACTTCCATATAGGCAAAACATTTCCCTTTGAGAACTTTTTTCATCCAGAGAAACAAAAAAAGTTGCTCAGGGCAAGATCAGCTGAATATGGAGTGTGGGGCATGGGGGCCATGTCATTTTTGATCAGAAACTACTGAACACTCAGCATAGTGTGCTCATAAATCACCCATAATGAAATGTGCAAACGCATAGAAAGAATCTCCAAAAAACATTCACTGAAGCCAAACTCAGCCTTCTCATAAATGCAAGCTGGTACACTGATGCTGATGGGTTCCTAAAACACTTCTTTAGTGGGGGAAGCCTGTGCTACAAGGGATCTACCCTCTAAAAGGTAATTTGGGTTTTTTTGGTTCCCCCCTTGTATTTGCCACCTAACACTACATTTTCTCCTTGGGTATTTAGGTGTCAAGGGTTTCATAAACTCTTTGAAATTACATGTAGAACTGTGAATGCTCTCTTTTTGGAGAAGGTACACAGCTTTCATTATACCCTCAGAAAGGCCCATGATCCAAAACAGGTTAAAGCAGTGCTGTTCATAATGTGGCTTCCAAATCAGTAATATCAGCATCTCCTGGAAACTTATCCTGGAAACTTATTGGAAATACAAATTCTCAGTCCCTGCTCTTGACCTACACAATCAGATATTGTAGTTTGTGTTTTAATGCACTGCAGGTGATTCTGATGTAGGTTCAAGTTTAAGAACCATGTCTTTTTTTTTTTTTTTCTTGAGACAGGATCTCACTCTGATGCCCAGGCTTGAATGCAGTGGCATTATTATAGCTCACTGCAGCCTCAAATTCCTGGACTCAAGTGATCCTCCCACCTCAGGCTCCTGAGAAGCTAGAACTACAAGCATGTATCACCATGCCAAGGTAATTTTTTTTTGTTGAGATGAGGTCTCCTTGTATTGCTCAGACTGGTTTCAAACTTCTGACCTGAAGCAATCCTCCCGCCTCAGTCTCCCAAAATGCTGGGATTACAGGCATGAGCCACTATGTCTGGCCAAGAACCACTTCTTTTTTTTTTTTTGAGTTGGAGTCTCCCTCTGTTGCCCAGGCTGGAGTATGGTCGCATGCTTACGGCCACTGCAGCCTCAGGTGATTCTTCTGCCTCAGTCTTCCAAGTAGCTGGAACTACAGGCACACGCCACCACGCCCAGCTAAGTTTTTTATTTATTGTACACTTCTTTTTTTTTTGAGTTGGAGTTTCATTCCGTCGTGCAGACTGGAGTGCAGTGGCCGGGCAGCCTCGGCCCACTGGGCTCCGGTGATCCTTCCACCTCAGCTTTCCGAGTAGCCGGAATTACAGGCGCGCGCTACCACGCCCAGCTGATTTTTGATTTATTGTAGAGATGAGGTCTCACCAAGTTGCCCAGGCAGGTCTTGAACCCGCGGGCTCAGGCAATCCACTCACCTCAGCCTCCCAAAGGCACAGGATTACAGGCTGAGCCACCAAGCCCGGCTTTTTTTTTTTTTGAAGCAGCATCTCACGGAGTAACCCAGGCTAGAGTGTACAACCATAGCTCATTAGTCTCAAACTCCTAGGCTCAAGCCATCCTCCTGTCTCAGTCACCCAAGTAACTGGGACTTTAGGCATATGCCACCACATCTGGCTAATTATTTTTTGTTTTTTTTAGAGATAGGGTCTCACAATTTTGCTCAAGGTGGTCTCGAGCTTCTGGCCTCAAGTGATCCTCTCACCTCAGCCTCCCAAAGTGCTGGAATTACAGACATGAACTACCATGCCTACCCTAATTTTTTTTTTGAGTTGGAGTCTCACTCTGTCACCCAGACTGGAGTGTAGTGTCCTGGCCACAGCAGC